ACCCTTGAAAAGTCTTTCAAAGGTATTTAGAATCTTTAAAAGATACTTAGATTCCGGGTACTTCTTACCACCACTAATGTACCTATCTCCACCCAGGCCATCCTTATCTTACCTCACTTACTGCAAATAAGCTTCCATTTGGCCTTTTTGTTTTGACTCTGTTCCCATAATGGTTTTGTTTAGTTTAGTCCCTCCTCCCCCAGGGCTAGGAATCAAACCCATCACCATTGTTCCTGTCAGTCAAGGACTCTACCACTGAAATTCCAAGCTACATCCCTCAAACCCCATAAAATAATCTTCACACCTGCGACCACAGGAAGTGTTTTAAAATTAAAAGTCTTATCCTGTCAGTGTTCTGCTCAGAACTATGTCTTAATCTCTTCAAGTAAAATCCTGGAATTTTAAAATGGCTCCAAAGCTATGTCTAATTTATTACTAGATGTTATTACTGATTTCTCCTTTTTTTAGATTTTCTTTAGATGTCTTGACCTTCTCTGCAGTGCTAGTAACCTGTTTACACAGGGTCTTCTTCAAGAACCAGAGTAGAAATTTTTCTTCAAAATTTTAATTTTTAAGATTATGATTACATTATTCTGCCCTTTCCGTTCTTCCCTTCAAGTTATCTCTTACACATTTTTACTCTTTTTCAAATTGATAACCTTTTTGTATTGTCATATCCTACTATTTCTCTCCATACTATTTTTTTTTTTGAGACAGGGTCTCACTGTGTAGCCCTGGCAGGCCTGGAACTCAGAGACTGCCCTCTCTCTGCCTCAAAAGTGATGGGATTAAAGGTGTGTGCTACATTTTGGGTATATTGTCATCTTATCAGACTCTGTATTTGGATTTTACATTCCATAACAACCAAGGTATTTCTTTGAATTCACTACTAAATACCCAGTCTCTAAAATGCTGCCTTTCATTTGCTAGATGCTAGACTACCAGAGAGAGTGACTGAGTTGAGAGAAAACCTTTTTAATATCAGGTATTATTTTTCACTTTAATGCTGTATTCACACGTAGGTGTTTTGTACAAATTTTTAATTAGCTAACATGAACAAAGTTAGGCATTGAAACAAAATCTCTTAAACATATTAAACAAGAAAATGATTAGTCAAGAAAGCAATTATTGTTGGAACACAATAGCTATATCCAGGAGTGAGAAGCAAGCCTGTAGTATGTGCCCACCATCCCAGCTATTCAGCTGTTCTGGGAGACTCACACAGAAGGATTGAGAGTGCAAGGCTCACTTGGGTAACTTAAGGAGAGCCTATATCAAAATGAAAAATATTCTGCAGTAGTAGAAATATAGATTAATAATTCAGCAACCTAGATATTTCATTCAAATAAGCAACAACTATAATAGATATGTAGATACCAGAAATGAAAAATTAAAAATGATGAGAAATTACCTGGAGATACAATGGCATTTAGTGCACAGTAAAATAGACATCTCTTTAAAAGCTGTCATCTCATATAAAATGAAATACTATTCAGCAATATAGTAAAACCTGTATTACATATAACAAATACATAGCCATTTAATAAGAAAAAGTTCAAAAAGTTGGAATATATGCAGTATACTCAGATAAAAGCTATGAAACAACTTTATGTAATGTAAAAGTTAATGGGATTATGGTTTTTCTTTTTTTTATAAATGTTTTTCCTGTAATGTGTTTTGATCATATTTTTCCTCTTCTCCAACTCCTCCCAGATTCTCCCCACCTACATACTCAACATTATGTTCTCTCATTCTCCCTCCCTCTCTCTTCCTGTCTTTAAAAAAAAAAAAGAAACAAAACATTTCCATACAAATATATAATATACTTCAGTTATATTCACTTCCTATTACCTACACTTTTCTTTTTCCCTCCTCCTATTGGTCCCGCCACCAAAATGTTCCCTTCTATTTCCATGTCTTTAAAAAAACATATCTAGATTCTACTTGAAATAAAATAGGAGTTGTTTCACTTTCTGAGTCTGGCTTATTAAAATTACCATGATGATGGACACTTCTGTCCACTTCTGTACAAATCTCATAATTATATCCTTTATGACTGAACTGTACTCCAATGTATGTGAAATACTCCATTTTCTTTATCCACATATCTATGGATAGGCATCTAAAGTGTTTCCATAACTTGGCTATTGTAAATAGTGCCATAATTAGTAGTATTGCATGCTGGCTTTGAGTATATACCCAGGAGGAGTAAAACCAGATCATATGCTACTTCTTTTTAACTTTGCAGGAACTTCCATATTGCCTCCTAAAAGGCCAGAGTACTTTATAGTCTGATCAACAGTATATAAGCAGTCCTTTTTCCATGTACTTACCAACATGTTCAATATCCCTTTTAGTCAAAGTTCAGTGAGGCACTGCTTTTTTCCCCTCTTATTGAAAATATATTTTTTTTATACAGTATACATCCTGATTATGGATTCTTGTCCCCCAACTCTTCCCAGTTCCTACCCACCTCTTCTATCTCCCTGTCTTATTAGAAAACAAGTAGGCATCTAAGGAACACTAGTAAAATAGTACAAAAACAGACAAGTGGGAATAGAACAAAACAAACAGGTAACAAACAAAGCAACAACAACAGAAAAGCACAGGAAATACATAGGTTCACACACACAGGTCTCCCATGAAAATATAAAACCAGAAGCCATAATATTTATATACAAAGGACCTGTAAGGTGTTAAAAATAATAAACTGCCTTAACCCAACATTATGAGACAAAGAACCTCCAAAGATGCCACTGAGTTTGTTTTGGCAAGTGGTTATCAATTGGAGCCAGCTTCTGGTTGGGGATGGAGGCTCTAGGACCGCATCTAGTTGCAGACTCATGCAGACCTTACATTTGCTGCCATAATGTCTGTGAGTTCACATGTACATCAGTCCAATTATGTTTAGAGGGCCTTGTTTTCTTGGTGTCCTCAATCCCCTCTGACTCCTACACTTTTTCTGCCTCATCTTCAAGCAAAGATCCCTGAACCCTAAGGGGAAGGGTTTGATAGAGACATCACAATTAGCACTGAATGTTCCAATATCTCTCATTCTGTACAGACTGTCTGGTTTTGAATATGTATTTGTTCCGGTCTGTTGCAGAAGGAAGCTTCTCTGATGATGGCTGATCCATGAGTACAGCATAATGTCATTATGAGACATTTTATTGCTACCTTCCTTTCATACAGTGGTTCTCAACCTGTGGGTTGAGATCTCTTTGGGGCTTGCATATCAGATATCAAACATATCAGATTTACACTATGACTCATAATAGTAACAAAATTACAGTTTTGAAGAAGCAACAAAATAATTTTATAGTTAGGGTCACCACAGTATGAGAACCTGTGTTAAAGTGTGGCAACATCAGGAAGATTGAGAACCAGAGTTTAATAAAAACGTAGTATTTAGTTTTTCCCTATGTCTCTGGCCTATCTAGTTTCAGGTTCTTGTCTGGCTACACATACAGTGTCAGGTATGAGTTCTATCTCATGGAAAAGTACATTTTACTTCTTAGATCATGATGGACTATAATAATAATATCCTATGTTGATATGTTTACCTGTGAATAAAGCAATAACACTATTCTAGAAAATGAAAATTGTTGTAAGCATCATAAGAAGTATAATAAAATGTCAATATACATCTGTATCCAGTAATTGAGTATCCAGGAATTTGTCTTATGAAAACATTCGTAAAGTATGTAAAGCTACATATACTAGGAGAGTTATAAAGTTGCTATTTATAGGCTAAGATCAAATAGAAGGGGAGGAGGCCCTCCCCTATCAGTGGACTAGGGGAGGGACATAAGGGGAGAAGCGGGAAAGATGGTGGGATTGGGAGGAGATGAGGGAGGGGACCACAACCGGATACAAATTGAATAAATTGTAATAAATGATAGTAAAAATATATTGTATGGAAATTTTCAAATAAAAATAAGAAAACAATTAAAATACTCACCCCCCCAAAAAAAAGAACAGAATTACAAAACTTACTCTTTAATTGTTTACTGAGCAATGTGCTGCTTCTGAGACTGGATCACATAGGAATCTGGGTTTACCATATTTACACATGTTAAATAAAGCTATTGAGTGATTTAAAAGAAAAAATGGCATGTCATTCTTATATTTCTGTCATTTCTATATTACCCATTGTACTTTGTTTTGTTAGAGGACAACAAAGTCTGAACTATTTAATATTTTTTTCTTTAGATGAATTTGTTTTTCTTTTAGCTTTATCCTTGAACTGATGTATTATGGCAGGAAAAGGCTGGATTCCTGTTACTTGCTGCATTTTCATGTGTATATTCAGTAAAAACATACAGACACTGCTTAATGTCTGTGTAATACCTAGAATCATTTTATATATGATCAGTAGTCCTTTTAGTGCATGTCACATCTGCATGATGCAGCCCTTAGAAATGTTGTGTTTTTAATTTGGTGATTTTTTTTCACGTTAGAGAGAACTAGATACAGTGCCTGTTTTTGTTACAAACTATATAATAATAAATGTGTTTATATCTTTGGATAGTATATACTAAAATAATAACAGTGAAAATAGCATAGTAATATAATTAGGAGAAATTTTTAACTTTTAGTTTCTTTCTATTGTATTTTTAAATCAAAGACTCACTATGTAGCCCTGGCTGGACTGGAACTTGCTGTAGACCAGGCAGGCCTCAAACTCAAGAGTCAGCTTGCCTCTGCCTACAGATTGCTGGGATTAAAAGCATGTCCCATGTCCAGTATATTCTCATTTCTTAAACTGTTAATACATGTGTATTTTCTAATCATGAGATTAAAGGAAAAAAGGATTGTAAATTATTCCTTTACTGTTTTAACCATTATTACCTATTAAAAAGCCAAATAAAAGCTCCTATAGAATATAGTTAATAAGGTGTCATTTACATTTTTAAAATATCCATACTTTTGTTCTTTTTCTTCTCTGGTGTCTTAGTTTGCTGTTTTTCTCCAACACTCTTTACTTCTGTTTAAAACAGGCCATTCAGAAGGGCAATACTGAAGTTGCAAGAATACATGCAGAAAATGCAATCCGTCAGAAAAACCAAGCAATCAATTTCTTGAGAATGAGTGCTAGGGTTGATGCTGTGGCAGCCAGAGTTCAAACTGCAGTAACCATGGGCAAGGTAAGACTGAGCTCCTGACAATAAAATTAACAAATGACTGAGTTTAATAAGAAGAGAAAGACTTACAAAAATAACAAGTCAGTCCATTGCAAGGTCTTACAAGGTGTTAAAAAAAAGAACTTCTTGGAAAATTAGACTTTGTGATGAAAAGGACTTTAGAAGTGGACTTTTCAACTGTTTACTAAGGAAATGTCAAAAATATAAAACAGTACCTAGTAATATAATATAAAATAGTACCAAGATACATAATGTGATTTTAGTGTTAAGGAAGTAATAGACAAATTTTCTAAGTTGATACATAAATGTTATATTTAAAAATTACAAAATGTACATGTTTTTAAATCAGTTTTATATTCCAAATAGGTGACAAAATCCATGGCAGGTGTTGTTAAATCTATGGATGCTACATTGAGGAGTATGAACCTTGAGAAGGTAAAAATATAAACAATTACCATTATTACTTGATGTTCAAACAGCACATTTTCTTAACACATTTTTCTTATGACCACATTTTTATAGATTTCTGCCTTAATGGACAAATTTGAGCATCAGTTTGAAACATTGGATGTTCAAACACAACAAATGGAAGATACAATGAGTAGCACTACAACCCTAACAACACCACAGGTGAGTATATCATTACTTAGAATGGTTTCTTAAAAATGACTTGATCTGGGCATAGTGACACATGCTTGTAACTGTAGTACTTGGGAGCTGAGGCCAGATTTCTAAGAGATTGAGACCAGCCTGTGCTGCGGAGTAAATTCAGGCCAGTCTGCTTTACATGATGGGAACCTCTCTCAAAATAAGAAATCACCTGCTTTTTGCTTTACCCAGGAACTTGCATATGCCGGGTAAGCACTGTATCATGACATTACATGTTATAGCCCTCTAAGATATTTTGTGGACCGAGTTAGAGAATGCATGGAAAGAACACAACATAGAAATGATTGGTAGCTAAGCCAGTTGGGCCAGTTGCTGTTTTTTTTTTTTTCTTTTTCTTTTAATATTTATTTATTATATATATATATATATATATATATATATATATATATATATATATATATATATATATATAATGTTCTGTCTTCATGTACATTTGCATGCCAGAAGAGGGCACCAGATCTCACTATAGATGGTTGTGAGCTACCATATGGTTGCTGGGAATTGAATTTAGGACCTCTGGAAGAGCAGCCAGTGCTTGTAACCTCTGAGCCATCTCTCCAGCCTCGAATTACCCACTTTTAAAAATACAGTGGCTTTATGAATATAAATCATCTCCTTACCTTATATAAGCACAATATATCCCAGATGCAGATAAGCAGCTTGTTACTGCTCTACCCTCAGATTTTTCAGAATATTGTAGAGAATAATGTTTCCTAACACCTAGCATGGGTTAGAATTCCAGTGATTTTATTGGACTCTAGAGCCTATTTACACATGTTTGCTAATGCTTTTATTTTATTAATGAAATTAAAATTTAGGCACATAATATTTGTGTAACATATTTTGATACATATATTGTTTAATGTTTAGATCAATGTTTACATATCTATAGATATAGCCGAAAGCCATTAGGAGTCATTATATTGTTATATTTCTTTAGAAGAATAATAGTATTTTATTTTGCCCTATGTCCATGGCCTACCTAGTCCCAGATTCTTGGCCATGTGTGCAGGTTCCTTCAAGAGTGGGTCTTAAATCCAATCAGACAGTGGTTGGTTACTAACACAGCTTTTGTGCCACTATTATACCAACTATTATGTAGGTAGGATGCCATTGTAGATCAAAGGGCTTATAGCTGGATTGGTGTTTTCCTTTTTTCTCTGGTAGCATGAACAGAACCTTACAGCACCATGAACCCTAGTCAGTAGGATGAAGGCTGTAGTAGGGATCAGCTCAGCTTCTCTGTGTTCCATGAGTTATTTAGGTATTGTCTTCAGCAATGGGGCCTTACCATAAGTTCATAGAAAGCAATCAGTAATCTTAACATTAGCCTGGGATGTTAGGGTTTTCCATGCAAGCCCTCTAGCCAACAACTCAATTATATGCAACCCATTTCTGGCACTGGAGGTTTCATTTTGGTGATAATAAATGTCTAGTTGGGGCTTTGTCTCCCTTTATTTGGTGATTTCATTTGTATTTGTATATATAAGCAATTTCTGTATAGTAGGTTTCCACGTAACCCCTCAAATAGCCCTTATTGTTAGTTTATCCACACCATATTCCCTCCCTTACCCCTCTTTTCTCCTCCTCTTCCAATATGATCCTCCTGTTCCAGTCCCTCTTATCCTGTCCACTTGTAACTATTTTTTCCCTCTTCCTAAGGATATCCTTCCATCCCACTTAGTTCCTTACTCTATACCTAATTTCTGTGGTGATATGAATTGTAGCATGCTTATCAAAGACTTAACAGCCAACATACACATATAAGTGAATATGTACTATATTTGTCTTTTTGTGTCTAGATAACTTCACTCCGAATGACTTTTTCCATTGTGTGAATATGTCACAGTTTCATTCTCCATTCTTCAGTTTGTGGGCATCTAGGTTATTTCCAGTTTCTAGCTATTATGAATTGAGCAGCAGTGAACAAGGATAAGCAAGTGTCTTTGTAGTAGGTTAAAGTGTTCTCTTGTGAATATATACTCAGAAAGGTATACCTAAACCTTAAGGTAGATCTATTGCCAGCTTCCTAAAGAACTGCCACACTGTTTTCTGTAATGGTTGTACAAGTTTGCATTCTGACCAGCCATGGATGTGTGTTCCCTTTATGTGTGACTAGAGCAAGCTGTCAGGTGTTTTGATTTCAGTCATTCTGACTGGTGTAAGGTAAAATCTCAAATTAATTTTCATTTTCCTGATGACTAAGTATGTTGAACATTTGTGTTCCATTTTTTGAGAACTCTGTTTAGATCTGTATCTCTTTTTAAATTGGGTTGTTTTCTTGGTGTACCTTTCCTTCAGTTCTTTATATATTTTAGATATCAGTCCTCTATCAGATGTGTGATTGGTAAATATCTTTTCCCTTTCTGTATGCCACTGATTTGCTTGAATGATGGTGTCCTTTGCCATGCAAAAGCTTCTCAGTTTCAAGAAGTCCCATTTATTGTTGATCTTAGTGCGTATGGTATTGGCTGCTGTTCAGAAAGTCTATTCTTTTGCCAATGAATTCAAGACTATTCCACTTTTTCTATTATGAGATTTGGAGTATCTGGCCTTATATGGATGTTCTTGATCATTTGGAACTGAGTTTTGTGCAACATTATAAGTCTAGATCTATTTAGAGTCTTCTATACATAACTATCCAATTTGACCAGCACCATTTGTTGAAGATGTCTTTCCTCTAGTGTGTATATCTGGCTTCTTTATCGAAGATGAGAGAAGTCCATAGCTGTGTAGATTTATGTCTGAGTTTTTAATTAAATTTCATTGATCAACATGTGTGTTTTTATGCCAATACCATACTGTTTTTATTACTATAGCTCTGTAGTACAGTTTGAGATTGGTGATACTACCAGAAGGTTTTGTTTTGTTTTTTTGTTGTTTTTTATTCAGAAATATTTTAACTATCCTGGATTTTCTGTATTTATGTATGATGCTGACATTTGTCCTTTCAATTTTTTTGGAGAATTGTTTAGGAATTTTGAATCTGTAGATTGCTTTTTATAAGATGGGTATTTTGACTAATTCTACCAATCCATGAGCATGGGAGATCTTTCCAACTACTGCTTTCATGAAGTTTCTTTCTTCCAAGACTTGAAGTTTTTGTCATACAAATCTTTCACTTACTTGGTTGGAGTTAACCCAAGATACTTTTTGAGGTTATTATGAAGGTCCATTTGTCATTTGTATATAGGAGGTCTACTGATTTTTATGTGTTAATGTGTCTTGCTAATTTGTTGAAAGTGTTCATTAGCTGTAGAAGTTTTCTGATAAAGCTTTTAGGGCTGCTTACATATAAAATCATGCCATCTACAAATAAAGATACTGCCACTTCTTCCTTTCCTAATTTGTATCACCTTGATTTCCTTTAGTTGTTCTATTGTTCTGGCTAAGACTTCAAGTAATATATTGAACAGATATGGAGAGAGTGGGCAGCCTTGTCTTCTCCCTGATATTATTGGGAATGTTTTGAGTTTCTTTCCACTTAGGTTATGTTGGTTGTGGGCTTAATGTATATGTATTTAGTATGTTGTTCTCTGTCCCTTGTATCTCTAGTATCTCTAGGACTTTTAACATGAAGAGGTGCTACCTTTTGCCAAAACCTTACCTTTTCTTCGTCTAATGAGAATGTTTTTTTTTTTTTGTTTTGTTTTTTATCTTTTAGCCTGTTTATGTGGTAGATTACATTTATAAATTTACATATTTTGAGCCATAACTCATCTCTGGGATGAAGCCCACTTGATCATAGATAATCTTTTTGATATGTCCTTTTTTATATTCAGTTTGAGAATATTTGATTGAAAAAATTTACATCTATGTTCATATGTGGTTCAGGTGTCAGGATAATTGTGGCCTCATTAAAAAAATTAAGTAATGTTGAGAAGTATTAGGTGTTAATGCTTTGAACATCTGCTAGAATCTACTCTGAATCCATCAGCCCTGGGCTTTTTCTTTTTAATGGGATATTAATTACTGCTTCTATTTTATTGGGGTTAACAGGTCTATTTAGGTTGATCATGTAATCTTGATCTGGCTTTAGTAGATTTTGATTGATAATTTTCTGGGTGTAGTAGTCTGGGCCGGCATCTGTGGTCTCTTAAAGCTTTTGGAACATCTGTCTAGGCCCTACTGGCTTTTAGAATTACATTTAGAAGTCAGTTGTTATTCTAATGAGTCTGCTGTTACTGTTACTTGGTCTTTTTTTTTGTTGCAGCTCTTGATAGTCTTTCTTTGTTCTGTACATTCAATGCTTTGATTATTGTGTGTTGTAGGGAGTTTCTTTTCTGTTCCAGTCTATTTGGTATTTTCGATGCTTCTTTTACCTTTATAGGTATATCCTTCCTTAGGTTAGTATTTTTTTTTCTATGATTTTGTTGAAAATAGTTTCTGTACCTTTGACCTGGGTTTCTTCTCCTTGCTCTACCCTGTAGATTTGGTCTCTTTATAATGTCTTAGATTTCCTGGATGTTTTCTGCCCATTTTTTTTTGCATTTTTAAAATTATTTTATTTTAATTAATTACAGTTTATTCACTTTGTATCCAACTTGTAGCTCCCTCCTCCCCTCCCAAACCCACCGTCCCTCTTTCTTCCCCTCCTGTGCCCTTCCCCCAGTCCACTGATAAGGGAGGTCCTCCTCCCCTTCCCTCTGATCCTAGTCTATCAGGTCTCATCAAGAGTGGCTGCATTGTCTTCTTCTGTGGCCTGGTAAGGCTGCTCCCCCCTCAGAGGGGGGTGATCAAAGAACAGGACCATCAGTTCCTTTAAGAGACAGTCCCTGTCCCCATTACTATGGAACCTACTTGGAGAATTGCCATGGGCTACCTCTGTGCAGGGGTTCCAGGCAATCTCCATGAGTGGTCCTTGGCTGGAGTATCAGTCTCAGAAAAGACCCCTGTGCCCAGGCTTTTTGGATCTTTTGCTTTCCTGTGGAGCTCCTGTCCTCTCCATGTCTTACTATCTC